CTCAAGATAGCTTGATTTTGGATTGAGTTCCATTGTTTCTCTTTGTTGTAGGGTCCAGGAATGGCAAGGAAGTTCTCTGCACCAAGCCAACTCTGCATCTCGATGACATCTTCTCTTGGTGCTACCCCTATCTCTGCAGCATCAGCTACCTCCCTAGGTCCCTTCACCAAGGCCATGTGTCCCCCTCAGCCATTTGGTTATCCAACAGTGCCCTTTGTAGCCCCCTGGAGCGGGACAGGTGGTCCAGCACAGCAGCCTTTAAACCAGTTCCAGCCTGTAGGAACTGCCTCATTACAAAACTTCAACATCAGCAACTTACAGAAATCTATCAGCAACCCCCCTGGCTCTAATCTGCGGACCACTTAGTGATTCCCAGCCGCATTGCTGGGTAGACCTTTGGGCAGGAGTTGGGGCCTGAATTAACTGCTAGGCTCTGTTGTGCCCAAAAGGGATGGATTTCCCCCCCTCTAACCATTGCTCTCTGCTCTCAGTAAGTAAAGCCCCCCATTCGGAAGATGGGGAGAAATTGATCAGGATCCTCTAAGATGGCACATGCTTCCTCTAATCCTTGTATGTGGCAGAATGTATAAAGATGGAAACCACCATGCAAGTCAGCAGCCTCTGACTGTAAAATTCACATGACTTAAGAGGCTGGATCCTGTGGGTTGGGAAGAAAGGTGTTAGCCTTCGCATGAATCTTGAGTATGCTGTTTGCCTTGCTCTGAAGAATTAAGCCCAGGGGAAAAGCTGTCCATTTTTTTCCACCATCTTGTCTATTCCTTCCTCCAAAGCATCACATCACAGTTCCTGAGCGAGTGAGCACACAGATGGACATGCAGAATAGCCCGTGCTTTGAGATCAGTCTTTCCTGCTTTCAGGAAAAAGATACTAACAGCTTTGACAGCAGCATTAGAGCAATTTAAAATGTTTAGAAGAAAAAAAATAATAATAATTAAAAGTTCCCTGAGGACATGTACTTACCATCAGTTTTGATGTGGAAACACTGTGATATATAAATGTTGTTGGACAACAGTAGTTTAAAAAAAAAATATGAGTGGAATATAGAGGGTTAAACAGTCAAAAAAGAAAAAAATGGGAAAAAAGCTAGCTATATCCTGATACTTATTGGAGACACTTTAACTTTTTTCCTTTTTATTTTCATTGTATTAGATAAATGTGAATGTATAATTGTATAAATTAATGTACTTGAATACTTGTCTGTTCTCCCAGTATGCTTGCTGGATATTTTAGTGCCTTGGACTTTTTATTGCTTCTGCAGTTAGCATCACCTGCCTAGCAGACTTTAGACAGACCGAAGGAAAGGAGAGAGGGAGGTTATTTTGGACGTAGCCACTGAAATACCAAAGGCCTAAAACATTGGACGTTTATACTGTAACAGTGTCTAGAGTAGGTGTTGGAGGGGAGCTACTGCAGCTGTACGTTGAAAAGGTAAAGCTATGGAGCGATGGGGAAAACCAGCGATGGATATTGGTGGAGGGTGCAGAAATGATGACATGTAACCAGAGTAAAGCTGGGCTGAATGTGAACAGAAAGAGAGAGAGGGAGGGAGGGAGAAGGGCTTGTCTGAAAGGACAGCTTTTGACTGAGAGCTACAAAGGGTTTTAGGAGGGGCAATATGTGTTCAGAAACTGGAGTTTATCACTCTGGGGAAGTGTGAAAGTCTCCTGGGATTTGCTCTTCATTGTCTTTAATTCTACCTAGAAAAGGGCAGAAATAGATATTCCATGTTGCGGGTTTCATTGCCAAGGATAGATAACACTTGAAACACTCAAAAATCAAAAATAAACTTGTTTTTGTTAAATGTCTAAAGGACTCAAAACTGGTACCAAGACTGTAACTGTGTTGCCTTCTAGTAGGTGTTCTATATCTCCTACTTTCCGCTCAAACTTGGTTTCTAACTCAACATCCAGGTTCTCTATTCAAATGAAATAACTGCAACCAACTAGTATTACTCTGTATTGCTGCAGCAGGCTGTGAAGGGTCAAAGTACTTCTATTTTGTATTTGGAAGTAGCTTTACTGCTGGTCTAAAAGTTTGTATACTAAGTAAAAAAAAAAAATATGTCCCCCCCCCTCTTTTCCCCCCCAAAAACGTTCCTTTAAGGTTAGCAGGGAATTTGTTATTTCTGTACTTGTTTGCTCTACCCTCAAACATATGCACAGGTTGGTCTTTCCATCCCTTTGTCTCCAGTTGAGGTTTAGAGTGGCTTTGTCGAGGAGGGAGGCCTCGGCATGGTGGCCGAAAGGCAAAAGACGGGAGTCTAGGTAGCTGGGCTTCGACACCTTTTCAGACTTTAAAGTCCCCATTTTGACGGAATCTGGGGAAGCCGTGGCTTCCTACTGTTAATGGAGAAGCTTTTACTTTCTGAGTTTGTGGCCATTCTTCAAAGGAAAATGAATTGACGTGCAGGAAGTATCAAGAATCAGTGACGAAAGGTGCCACTTCATGGTTAGAATGGTCAGCTGAGTGTTGCACGAGGATGGTATTTTTGGTTTAATATGTTTGAGGTTGGGTTTTTCACTTAGTTATGCAAGTACTGGTTTTATTTCCCATTGATTTCCCTCCTGTGGATTAAATAACTGAGGTCTAGAAGAATTAACTAATGCTACTGAACTGTTAAATTATTTTGTGTTAATATTACACTTTGAGTACCTTTTTTTTCCCACAAGATCTGTTTCTGAATTACAGATGTTTTCTTTACATTATTTAACAATGTACACTGTAAAAATAAAATAAAATGAATTCAAACCTTGGGCTTCCCTGGCCGTAGTTAATGGTATGTTTTGCACTAAATCCAGGCATTGCGCTTCATGTACAATTGCGCTTTGTGCTGCAGTTTGTTACCTTCTTTGTAGATATTTAATGAAATCATTCAAATAAACCAAACCTGCTTTTGTTGAACTGTGGCATTTCATTTTCAGTTGGCATTTGCTTCTTTCAGTGCCCTGAAGCTTAACTGTGGAGGGACCAGTTACAACAGGACAGATGGCTCATCCTTTCTGAACCCAGGGCTGCAAACCCTGGCCGGAGACCCATCTGCATAAGGCTAAGATGAAGAATGCTACAAAGCAGTTATTCAAGCTCAGAGAAGAATCCAACCAATGGTTGTGCTGTTATTTGAAAGGCTTAGCTACATTGATGAGATTTTTTTTGTGAGGTTTTTAAATTTTATTTTTGGAGACTTCAGCAGGCATTATGAACTCCCAAATCTATGATGTACGTGGAAGGACTGGGAAGTTGCATTAGTAAATTCGACACATCTTAAACTCTCATGGTTGGGAACAAAAATAGATACCTGAACGTATATATGTGTGCCAGAATTCACTTGTCAGTCTGTTCATGAAGATTCAGTGAATGGGAGGAAACGGTTGCAAAGATTGAAGTTATTAATTTTGAATTGTAATACCCTGCAGAGACATATCAGTTAAAAACAAAAATAATAATCCTTCATGTTGTCTCACCCATTTTTGCAACTCCCTTGAAATTCTCAGTTCCCTCTTAGTGAAGTTCATGGTTCTTCAAAATCTGTCCATCCCCCCCTTTAAAAAAAAAAAAAACTTCATTCCAGAATTCTTTATCATACTAAAGAAGAATCTTCCTTTTTTTTAACCTATCATACCAAAGTATTTGTAAAACCTCCCTTGGAACAGTCTCTGATTCTAAGACATAACCTCACATCAAGGTGTAAAAAAAGGAATCCTGTGTTGATACTAGACAATAGAAAAGCAGGTCTTAACAGACTTGGTATATTCATTCAGTTATTGAAAGACTAATTTACCTTGTATCTTTGATCTGTGAGGACATTTGGAATTTAACACAGTAGTTTACTTTTATGGTTTACATGAATTACAAGCTTGCACTGTAGTAAACTAGAATCTTAAACACTCTACTAGAACAGAAGCTGCTATACCTCTAGGGAGAAAAAAGTGTATGTGATCAGTGTAATTTCATAAATCTGCCACTATATGGGAAATTTATGTAGAACCTTGAAAGCGACTTGCAATATAGGGATTATACGACAAGAACAAAGGGAATAAGAAAATGGAGCTTTGTGCTTGAATTGATTACAATTGAATAAGGTGTTACAGGAGTTTAGTGTTGTGCAATTGAATAAGGTGTTACAGGAGTTTAGTGTTGTGCTGTTTTAAGTACTGTAAATCTATAATTGAAATCCTCATTTATTACAGGAATGGAAGACAGTGGCCATTCAGATGTTGCTGGGCTACAACTTAATTCTAGTACAGCGTACTTGAATTCCAATTTTTATCTGATACTTTTTTGATTACTATATGACATAGTTGCTGCAGATCTTGCAACAGTAAAAGTAGAAGAATTCCTGAAGATTTCTTTTAGCCAAGTAAACATTTCCGTAGTAATCTTGGCAGCAAGGAGATGAAGGAAACAAGTCCGTTACACAGACGGCCTTTCACTTCCAGTTGCTTTTAAAGAATGAAATCAATGTAACAATTTTTCCAATAGGAGCTACCTGATATCAGTCATATTTGTTGTGCTATCCCCTGCTTCAAGACTGGAAGTTGTTTCTTTTGCCAAAAATGTTGATTTTTTTGTAAAGTTGAGTCTTAGGATCTTGAGTGTATTTCTCGCAGTTTAGCAACATCCATCCTTGTAAAATACAGCACATTTTCCCCTTCAACTTCTTAGGGTTTCATAGACATACCCATGTAGTTTTCTTGGCAACGGTACATTTAAAAAAAACAAACTTCCAGTTTAGTCTACAGCTTCTGCATTTGCAGACAATCAAGTACTGAACAGGTTCAATGTTGCTTAGCTTTTTAAAATCGGCTAAGGAGAATTTTCCTTTATCTCTTCTATTTTAAGTTGCATATTGTAAAATAGATTTATATGTAGGAAGCTAGATACACTATAGCAATCATAAGGTGTCTGGCTACTATGGTATATTGCTTGCCAAGGATCTAGTGGAAAATTTCATGTGTCCACTAATGAAATAAGACTAATAATTATCCACTTAAACATTTACATGAATCTTAAGCTTCCAAGAAAAAACAGAATATCTCCAGGCCGCCTCCAACGCCCTCTGATATTGTTCACCTGGAAATATTAAGATTGTTCTGCAGCCCAATCATGCACAAAACATGCATTTTTAAAAACATTCTTAGGTTAAAACCTACTTGTGCCTAGGTCAGGGGTGTCAAATTGCCGGTCCGTGGATCGGACGTGTCACACGGAAGCCGCACTCATCCCATTGCCGGCAATGGCAAAACTGTCCCGATACATTGCGCGACGTCATGTGATGTCGCAAGTTTGACATGTCTGGCCTAGGTAATATACTACACAAATATCTGCTACAGAATAAAGGACTTAGATATAAACAAATGCCTATATGTTGATAGGAAGAAAATGCCAATGTCTCTTTATTGAAACATTTCATTAAATATTTCAATATATAAGTATAATCATGCATCCTGAAGCTTCATGATATATAGGATTTAGCATTCTTGATAGTTCAAATAATTTTGGTTTAATCTGCAGATCAGAACATAGTGGGCCAATTTTGAAAATTAAGGAAGTTTATTTCAAAAGAATGACCAAGGAAAGTTATATAAATGATATACATACATTACATAACATCTTACATGTGGGATCTTCCTAAGTCAATTACAGTTGTGACATGATAGTAATGGGACCCTTTCCAATGTTATCTTAGCTGTTGGTCAAACGGAACTACAGCCACGGAACTACAGCCTACAGATGATCTGGAGATAGGGAACTTCTTTCAGCCTGATGCTATTAGTCTCGCAGAAAAACTGCTTTAATTATCCTTCTCTCTTTTGCAACAGAAACAAAAGGTATACTGATCCTGTTTCCATGCAAGAATTGTTTGGGGAAAAATTGCTCAATCTAACAAAATAGATTGATATATATTTGCGCAAGTGACTTAGAAAACATGACAGTTTGAATATAAAACCAGTAACTTGCTACCACCTCTCCTATTACCAAGATGTGGTAGAGAATCCAGAGACAGTTTATGTAGCAATATTTACTGCTATGCTGCCTATTTAATGCAAGCAGTAAAATCAGAGTAAATGATGACATGAGATGCTGCATTAAATTATAGATTGCAAAATGAATTATACTGTTCTACTGATTGATTTTTGTTTTCTCAGACCAATAAATAGACACTATAAAAAGTCCAAGACTTTGATATATTTCTCTTCCAACCTACACTTTTAAAAAGTCATGCTTTTCTAAATGTCTAGTAATAAACTTTCCAAATATTTTCAGGTTGTACCCCTTTGAGTAGGTGGAAACCTTGGTTTTGTTGATTTTGTTCATTAAAAGAAAGGACAGTTATAACTTAAATTAAAAATGATCATCAAATTCATATCCAGGTGAGACCATTATAACACATCTATATTTAGAATATATTATTACTAAAATTGCTCTCTTCTAATTGGAATGAAGAAAGTTAAGAAAGTACCTTTTTAAATTTTAAAATAAAATTACATATAAAGGAATAAAATATTAGGATTTGTAATATTTAATTCTTTTAACTAGAGATAAAGTGGCATTTTAAGCCAATAGTTAAATACTGCAAAGCAATGCACTTTTTTCTGTAATAAAATCTAGAAAATATACTTTGATCTGCAACTTTATTGGGCTAAAATGTATTCTGAATTAAAACCCTCATGTTGAAGTCTACTTGTTTTCTATGCAGGCTCCAGTCTCCTCTTTTTCATTCCTTGGCCTTTTCGGTATGGGCTACGTTCAGCTGAAATAGAAAACAGTCGTTCAGAAAAGGGTTTCCTTCTAAAAAAAATATTTTTTCACCTAGTTTCTTTTCTTTATCTACAATAAAATGTATCCTGTTTCATTTTTCACCACTGCATTTTAAGCAATTTTACTTTACAATTTTACTGACTTGGTTATAATTCATTGGCTGAAATACTGGGAAATATGAAGGGGTTTTTTTTTCCCTCCACGCTCTGCAGAATTTAGACACACTTTAGATTACCATCCAGTTTTATATGCTGAGCTATCATATTTCACATACAACAGGCCTCAGAGTTCAGAAGCTGCATTTAAGCTGCTTTTCACAGAGGAGATAATATGTTATTTGTTCTCCCCTATTACGTGCATTTGTCATATGGTCTACAGTAGTTAATATAGACAAAGTTACGTGTATAATAATAATAATAATAATAATAATAATAATAATAATAATAATAATAATAATAAAGTTGGAAGGGACCTTGGAGGTCATCGAGTCCAACCCCCTGCTCAGGCAGGAAACCCTACACGATTTCGGACAGATGGCTGTCCAATCTCTTCTTAAAAACTTCCAGTGTTGGAGCATTCACCGCTTCTGGAGGCAGGTTGTTCCACTGGTTAATTGTTCTAACTGTCAGGAAGTTTCTCCTTAGTTCTAGGTTGCTTCTCTCCTTGATTAGTTTCCATCCGTTTATAGTTTACCTCAGGGGTCCCGAACCCCTGGTCTGTGGACCAGTACCAGGCCGCAGCATGCCAGCAACCGGTCCGCACAAACAAGCAAAGCCCCATCTGTGGGATGTAGGCAGCACACAAAACCACGCCCCCTCTGGTCCGTGGAGAATCCTCTCCATGTAACCGGTCCCTGGTGCCCAAAGGTTTAGGGACCTCTGGTTTACCTGATGAGTAAGATTTGGGACTGGAGGACAGATTCCAAGATGATTTTATACTCGATTGCTGATTATTTATTCTTTGTGGGGTTCGGCTGCGAGTCATCATGGCATGCTGTCCAAGAGGTGACCGTAAGCATTGGGCTGGCACAGCTGCTGCATCGTGATCGGTCGCTTCCAAAGGAAAGTCCCAGAGTTCTGGATCATCTGTAACCAGTCAGGTATTAAAACCAGAACCTCAACTATTGATCATTCAATTAGGCGTCTGATTCCCAACGGCTCTGGATTGTAATGGAAGCGGCGATATTCAGGGTCAAGCTCAGATATGCGACTGTTTAAATCTGAGTTTTTCTAGAAAAAGGGAATGCGGATGAATAACATCTTGGCTCCCAGTAACTTTTCACTGTAAATGCCAACTGGCTGTTTATTCCTTTCGCTACAGTCCTTCTCCTCCCCCCCCCCCCCCCCCCCCCCCCCCCCCCCCCCCCCCCGGTCTGCATTCATCATCAAACCAGATGTGTTGGGGAGGAGTTGCCTGAGAAAAAGATACACATGGTACCCTAATAATTGGTGCTGCGAATACCATGAAAATTATGAGCTGACCGCCTTCAAGCAATTTTACACTCACCTGCAAGGAATTCTTCATCCATGACAGGTTCTGGTCGTGCAGAAGAGTTGCATTCCAAGGCAGGGGGAATGGACGCCTCTGTATGCAGAGAACAGAATGGTTGAAAAAGTGGAACCGTTCCCCACCTTTCTAATCTGAGGCAGGGAGACAGGATCAAGGTAGGTAGAACTGAACTGGCGATGAACAAATGGCATATCGGTCTCTTCCTTGTGTCATCCAAGGAGAATCAGTGGTCGCTCAAGTGTGCAACTTCAAGTTGCTGTAGGTCTAGTTCAGGGGTAGGCAACCTTGGCTCTTTTATGACTCGTGGACTTCAACTCCCAGAATTCCTGAGCCAGCCATGCTGGCTCAGGAATTCTGGGAGTTGAAGTCCACGAGTCATAAAAGAGCCAAGGTTGCCTACCCCTGGTCTAGTTCCTACTGTTCTCTTTCTTCCCAGAAGATACAGATTGGGAAAGGAGATTTTATTGTCTCCCTTTCCCTTCCCAGGTTCCTTTTTTTCTTCTGGCACTTAAGAACTACAGTGGAGGGTCAGTCATCACTGGGTATTTTTGCTATTGTCTTTGTAATTTGTAATGTTAATTTAATTAAAAGGCAAGACAAGAAACAATGGATGGAAACTAATCAAGGAGAGAAGCAGCCTGGAATTAAGGAGAAACTTCCTAACAGTGAGGACGATTAACCCGTGGAATAGCTTGCCTGTGGGTGCTTCATCACTGGAGGTTTTTAAGAATAGACCTGGACAGCCACTTGTCTGAAATTGTATCGGGTCTCCTCCTTGAGCAGGGGGTTGGACTAGAAGACCTCCAAGGTTCCTTCCAGCTGATTGATTGATTTTTTGGGGGGGAGGGGGAGCTTCAGGATTCTTAATGTTCCTGTTCTGTTTACGACTCCTTATAATTCTCTTGAGTTACAAGGAAGAGCTATGATAGCCTTTCACTAACCCTAACCCCTCTTTTTTGTGGCAGCCCCTCAAATACTGGGATACTGCTATCATGTCACCCCCCTAGTCCTTCTTTTCTCTAGAATGGCCATACCCAGTTCCCGCAACTCTCTTTACCTTGATCTTTAGTTCTGCAACCTGAAACATCTGACTGTATCTGCTGCTTCACCTGCATCTGCTGTCTGAACTTCTGTTGAAGCTGCTTCTGTCGCATCTTCCGATGGTGAGTTGCATCATAATCCAAGGGCAGTGAGTTCCTGTGATGACAGAATATAAACCAAGGGGGATTATCCCTGTAGCTCATTAATAACATTTCCTCAGGTTGGCTAGCAAGGCATGTTTATGCCATATTAAACTTCAATTCCATAATACTTTCTTCTAATAACTTACTTAAGATCCAGGAATACCGGGATGAACTAAGGAGAAAGGAACTCATGCTGGATAATAATAAATTCTGAAAGCAGAATGTTAACACCACCAGAGGGCATCAGGCTGAAAAAAAATCTGCTATAGGATATATGTGCCACTTGGCTACGTACTTTACCAATTTTGTAGGCACTTAGGAAATAGGAAACATTTAAACTACCTTTTTTTTCTGACAGAATTCATATAAAGCAATCCAACATTACTTTTTTCTTTCCCTACTGCCAGAAGAAAAGTGGAATATCTGACGACACCCAGGAATTTCTTGCTAAATTAAAGTTCAGAATACATTTGACAGCAACTTTCTAATGGCATTATGAACAGTTTAAAACAGGGGTAGTCAACCTTGGTACTTTTATGACTCGTGGACTTCAACTCCCAGAATTCCTGAGCCAGCCATGCTGGCTCAGGAATTCTGGGAGTTGAAGTCCACGAGTCATAAAAGAGCCAAGGTTGACTACCCCTGGTTTAAAATTTCAAAATATGCGCCTGTGGGAAAAATCAAACAAAGCTGCTGACCTGTTTTGTCCAATAGCATTCAAGGGAGAATCCAACCTGTGAGATTTGCCAGGGGTTGACGAGGAAAAGAATTTCTGGTCTTCACTTCCTTTCTGCAAGCAGCTATTATATCTTGCCTTTTCTATAGAAGGATCAAAGTCCTGCCTTTTGACTTTGCCCAAATCTAAATCTGGAGGCATCTAGAAAAAGGATGAAACAGAAAAGCCACTCAAGTAGAGAAATTCAGAAAATAGTAGAAGCATGTCACAGAATTTATCAGGGGGAAGCTGCCCAGGAAATGCATTCCCCCCCCCCAGCACCCAAGTCCAGAGATGAAGCTACCCAGGAAACAAGTGATATTTTGTGCAGAATTCGCCTCTTCACACCACACTTTTAGCTGTAAACTGAGCTAATGTGGTTATTTATCTGTTTAAAGCAAATTACAGTTACTCTTAGTGCCGTGTACCCTGTAGATCACCTTTGGCTTCTTTTTATTTTTATGACAAATTATTTATTTGAAACATTTATTCAGACACCCATCTTACAGCAACTCTGGGCAGTTCCCAATCAAAAATCAAAGACCATATTAAATGTTAGGAGATGACCAGGTTGTGCCCGAAGGAGGGGCCAAGCGCATCATCAGTCTTGAGTCCCTTTGCGCCCACAAGAGATCTTAGGTCCAGCCCATCTTGAATTCCGTTGACTCTTATCTACCGCCAATTTGCTTTGATCTCTTGTAGAGGGGTGTTAGCATGAAATCATTTGAACCGCCTTGACTCCTGATTTCCTGTGCTTGACATTAAAACTATTAAAACCAAATGTATATATATATAAAAAAAAACCTGGTGTCAAGTCAAGCTTCCAATGTGTAGTCATCTGTTTTTATCCCAGCATTTGGAAGGAAAGACAGGTCTTCAGTGCTTTATGGAAGGTTAAGAGGGTGGAGGCCTGCTGAACTTTGGGGAAAGATTTCTGTAGAGAGGGGCTGTCACAGAAAAGGCACGCTTCCTAGCCCCCATAGGAGGGCAACATTTAAAGTAAGGGATTAGGAGCTTGGCCACCCTTATCTTACTTGGTAGAATGGATAGATGACTTTAGAGAAAGGGGGTCCTGCAAATAACCTATGCCTATGCCAGATAGGCTTTATAGGTGATGAGCAACATCTTGATTTGCACTCAGAAAAAAAAAAACTGGAAGCCACTGCAGCTCATTCAACAGAGGTGTTAATGGGCAGATTCAGGGGCACCCACCACAATGCATCCTGCTGCATTCTGGACCAGTGGAAGTTTTTTGGTGGTCTTCAAGGGTAGCCCTATGTAGAGCACACTGCAGTAATCCAAATGGGAGGTGATCAAGGCATAGGCAAGGCCTCCCAGTGAAGGAAAGGGTGCAATTGGTGCATTAGAAAAATCTGTGCAAAGGCTCCCAAACTATGGCTGCCACCTGCTTCTCAAGCAGGAGCTGAGTCCAGGAGATCCCCCAAGTTGCACAGCAGCTCAGTTCAGGAAAATACCACCCACCCAAAGATTAAATATCATCTGGTCCTGGGGAACCAAAAACCCAGAGTCATTTCATCTCACCAGGGTGAATCAAACCCGGTTCCCCCACATCTGGACCCTTACAGCCTTCAGGTATTTGTCCTGCATTGCCATAGCATCATCTGTCTGGCTGAGGGTGGAGATACATCATTGGGTATCATCAGCATTGCAAGGCCCTAGGACTCAACCTCTCCCCTCATATCAACAACGACTGGAACCGGCCACAGAGGAAGGAGGAGAACCATCATACCACAGTGCCTCCCACTCCCAGCCCTCAAAGCCAATCCAGGATACCATGGTTGAAGGTATCAAAAGCCGCTGTGGTCCAGGAGGGTCAGAATGGCTCAGGAATTCTGGGAGTTGAGGTCCACGAGTCATAAAAGAGCCAAGGTTGCCTACCCCTGGACTAGTGCAACCAATGCTGTTTTAATGCTGTTTTCTGATCCGAACCCAGACCGAAAAGGATCCAGATAATCCGCTTTATCCAGGGCCATTTGTAGCTGTCAGCCGACCACCTTTTCAACAACCTTCCCTAAAAAGGGAACATTTGAGACCAGACTAGAGTGATCCAATTATAGGTTTTAAAAAGTAAATAAATAAAAGGTTAATCTTGTGGCAGTGGCGAAGGTTATTGAAAGAGGAAAACTATAAATTTTTAGACATGTTTAGAAGCTTATAGTGTGACCTTAGAAATGATATACAAAAATAAATACAAGTTCAATTAATCTAACTTTGGGGTAAATAAGTAAAGGAACTGCAGATTCAAGATAATTTATCCAAAGGGGTCGTAAGGTAGAAAAAAAATGTACTCTAAGGTCCACATAAAAGTTACATGAATGTACATGTGTTTTTGTGCATGTTGCAGAATCCTATTCAAAATAAGACAAAAGTATTTGTTTTATAATACTAGAATGATGGCACAATACTTTTGGCTTAGTTCTGAATAATAATAACAAAAGAGAAAACATTTCTAATAGAAAAAAAGCTAAAAGCTAAAATTATGAAGAATACATTAGGCAAGTTACTATTAATTTTACAATTTGTGCTCATTCCAGAATTTGGCATTTTTATTTTTCTTGACACCTGCTTTCCTCCCCTCTCCCCTCACAACATACCTGACGGGGGAGCTTATTCACCGAGCGCAAGTAGTCTTTATCCAAAATACAGTTCCCAAGAGCATTACCAAAGCACCTGAAGAGACAGATGGCTGCTTCTTAAAATATAATTCTGCATTTCACAACAAAAAATATTGTACGCGTTGGTTACTCTTACTTTAGTGCTCTCTTCAATCCGTCTGTGACCGCCTCTTTCCTTGCTTTTTCAAGGGACAAGGCCTTAGATTTCAAGCCTTCACTTACTCCATAGCCAACATCTTCATGGTAAGCCCCATCCTGCAATATGAGTAGATTATACTATATTCCCCTATTACTATCATTACTTTAACCATTCCTTTCTTGGTATTTGAAGAAAAATGAATGGAGGACTGTGGTGCATTCAGTTTTTCTGGAATCTACGGGGATTTGGATACTTAATCTGCCGTATCACACCACTTCAACCTATTTTCATTCTTCAAGGCAAGTATATCTTTGGCCCATAACAAGGAGGCAGATATAAGTGGAATAACTTCTTCAGCATTAAATAAATAATTTGATCCCTTTCAACCAATAACAGAACGAACAATGGTAACAGTTTTATATAACAATATGGTCTCTCCACCCGGGTGTAAATAATACCTTCAAGAGTTCTTATTGTGCACATTTAACTCAACGGTCCCCAACTTTCTGGCTTGGCAGCCCAGTGTGGGGGGAGAAGGGATGTTTCTGTACCAATGGTAGGAGCATGCATTCACATGTGCAGTTCCATTTATGTGAACAGCAGGCGCACATGTGTGTTGCTCACACAAACGGAGCTGCACATGCAAGCATATGCACCTGCTGCTCACACAAGTGGAGATATGTGCACATGCTCGCCCGCTGCTTGTGCGGCCTGGTTCTGAATGAGCCGTGGCCCGGTAGTGGACTGCGGTCCAGGGGTTGGGGGGGCCCTGATTTAACTGTCTGTCACTAAAAACTCCACCTCAGTAGAATACCTACCATCTCCCACATATGCATGCTTACCTTAAGCTGAACTTTCACAAAGGCACAAACACCCACATAGAATTTGCCGTTATTTAGATCAACAAAATCTGCAAAAGGAGAAAAAAAGTTACACTAAAGACTAAAGCAAGAGGCAGTCACAGAAATATATAAAAATGCATATGAATTTAAAAAAAACAAGGACCCGTGGTAGCTTTCATTTTTCAAAAGAAAACTTAGGCCAAACACAGTACAAATTATATAAATAGGAAACAAGGAAACACGCTTGACTAAAATTAAACTCAACGGTGTCTGGTAATTTTCATTGTTTTAATAAACATCTATTTATAGTTAGTGCTTATGAATTGTAAGGTTTCATATTTGAGATAATCAAAATCTCTATAAATATTATTCTATGTTAATTAGAAGTACCAAACAAGCTTTACTTTTCATCGTATCATCTATCAGTGCTTGATCTTTCCTAAAAAACTGCTACAGGAAAAGGATAAGAGTCAAATACACAGCTGAAATGATGAATACACCCATCTTGCATTGTTAATCTATCATGGCATTATCTGGAATGAAGGATACATTTCATTTCCTTAATTCTAATTCACACAGTATTTACTTGTTGCACTAATAAATGAGAACAAAACCTCTGTACAACAATTGCTTTTTGAAAGGTTTAGAATCTAATTCTTAACCTTACAAGCTACCAGTTTCAAACAATGTAAAATATAGCAAGTGACAAAGGCTAGAGATGGAAGGAAGCAATCACAGAAGGAATGGTAACAAGAGAGGGAGTGAGCACAAATAACAAAAGTGCAATAGAATTCAAGACTTAAGAATACTGGATCTGGTCACAAGAGAACAATTTTAGACAATCAAATTAGAAAAGCAAATCAATAAATAAATAAGGGTGCTTGAAAGCACTAGCAAAAGAAACATAAAAACTGTAATGCACTAGTACAGGTGTAGGCAACCTTGGCTCTTTTATGACTCGTGGACTTCAACTCCCAGAATTCCTGAGTCAGCATGGCTGGCTCAGGAATTCTGGGAGTTGAAGTCTACGAGTCATAAAAGAGCCAAGGTTGCCTACCCCTGCACTAGTAGAATAATAGGATATTGTGGTGATTTCACTCAAGAGGTAAGAGAACTACAACATAGATAAGCAAATCTGCTTTCTGGCTGGCAATTACAATCTAAAATGATGAATATACATCAATTTCATATGCAAACCAACTCAAAGAAACTCTTGGCCCGCCTCGCACTTCAAGATCTCAAAAGTTGCCTGAGGAAGAGAGGCACTTCTATAATACCTCATGACATTTCTCATGCTCTTCTACAACGGATTTTTGTCAGGAACACAGGAGAAATAAGCAAAACTGCTTCCAAACTATTACCAGATCAAAGAGGGCTCCATGAGCAAAGCAGTACTGCAATATTCCCAATATCTTTTCTTTTACATTTAGAACTGATTTATAATGGGAATATTTTTCTCACATTTTCAAGTTTTTATTGGACTCACCAACGTTCTGCTGAGTGACAGAATGAGCCCAGCCATTATAGCCAAACATTTCATTGGCCAGGCCGATGACTCTGTGTCCCTCTATGTAGCACACCTGAGAGAAGAAAGAAAGGAAATAGGTTTTGCTATAGCCTAACATGTAATGTCAAAGATCCATTTTTTATCTCACATTCAAGAAGGATCTATAGCAGTGATGGCGAACCTATGGCACGCGTGCCAGAGGCGGCACACCTGCCGCCACTGCCGCTAGCTCATGCAGATCCATTAGGCCACCGCTGGCGCCCAGAGCGGCAGCCCCACCCAGCACAAAAGAGGCGAAGCAACTGGCTAGCAAGCTCGAGTAGAGGTGGTAGAGCATCCCCACATCTGCTCGCTGGCCTCTGTGTGCAGAGGCTGATGGTGTCAGGCAGCAGCCACCCCTGCCTCGCCTTGCCCCGCAGTAATGGCACCCCTGCCCTACCCCGTTTCACCCCGCAGGACGAGCCTCCTGCCCACCTCCCCACCCACCAGAGAACTCCTGGATCTTCCCCAATCCTGCCCAGCCCCCACAGGCATCTCCCCCATGAGCAACATCAATGTGGCCACGCCCACCCCGGCCATGCCCACTCAGTCTGCCGTGACCACCGCAGCCACCCCCACCCATGGGCCACCCCCACCCCCCCTGAGGGCACCACAATGCTGATGTGGCCCTGGCACTTTGCGATAAATAAGTGGGTTTTGGGTTGTGGTTTGGGCACCCGGTCTCTAAAAGGTTCGCCATCACTGATCTATAGCTATGTAATAGAGTTTCTAAGTGATATAGCACAGCACAGACCATAAAGAAGCAGGTAACAGAATGTATTCTAACAGGGCTTAGTTTTTTACGTTTACCAAGTCGGAGACAGACACTATTTTCATGTAAATGGCTCTGTACATGAGAGTTATATATAAACATTAAATTGATCAGATGGATTCTATTTCAGGGAGAGAATGCTGGTAATATCTCAAAATCTAGGCCAGAGTGTGGGATGGGTTATGGAGGGAACAAGGGTGGGACTGAGCATTATATGCGTCATTCTCCTTTAAATGTGTGAAAAGCTATTAAAGATTCAGTGCCACGGAACACGAGATCCTTCGTACAACTAGTTTGGCAATACACACAAAATATAATCTTCTATATTATTATTATTATTATTATTATTATTATTATTATTATTATTATTATTAAAATGTAAATGTTCGTTTGTTCAAAATCTTAAATCTCCGAAAGTTCTTCACCGATTGCTTTGAAATTTTGACACAACGTTGCATTCGGATACGCGCGTGTTTTTATATACCTAGTATTATATACATGTCACACCTGTGACAGGTAAAAGGTAAAAACATGCTTTTTTTGAAAAACAGCGCCATCTGTTGGTATACCCACAAGCATTGTGAAATTAAACATATTAGAAACGTGCGCTTTCTCTTTTCTTTCTTTTCCATTTAACCAGACTGAGCCACAGCAACGCGTGGCCGGGAACAGCTAGTAGTGTAATAAAAACCTGGCATTTAGAGACATTTTGCCCAGGATTACGTTTATTTTTCTCTTGAAATCTCAAGGTCAGCAGTTCTAATTTGGCAACCTGAAGGTTAGTATTAATCTTTTAACAGTCTGGTCTGGTGATACTAGCTGTTGACAACTATACAGTACATGTTAAAAAAAAGAAAAGTGTTAATGCATCTGAACATGCTACTCCAAGCCTGCCGGGGTCACATCTCCGGGGTTAAAAGGATGCTTTTCGGTATAAAGTAGATGAAAGCTCTAGCTAAACTTTGTACCTTCTGTCCTCCTCCAGCTTGTCGGCTACTGATGTATTCTGGGCCCAGCCTCTGACGCAGAGCGGCCTGAACTGCCTGATATTCATCTGCTGTATACCGGCACTTCACAGACACAAAAAAATCAACAGATTTAAATACCTTTCTCTCTTCTTGCCTCCATTTCAAGATTCAGTTTGCTCACACTTACGTGTTTTTCAAGATGAAAGAATAAACTGCGCTCTGACGATATTGTCATAAATTATAAAATGATAAAAAAATAATATCTTTAGAGTTCACTCCTGAAGTCTCACTATCTTAGCGCAAATTGAAGGGATAGTTTTATCAGCATATTGCCTAGTATTCCTCACCAAGAAGCAATTTACGAATTCATCCCCCCCCCCAAAAAAAAGAACCACTCAAACTTCAACACTGTACAAAGTCTTCTTTGTAAAATAATCTCAATCATACCTGAGCTTCACTTTTTCTGCATAGGATACAAAATACATTGGGATTATTTCAGAAAGATTGATTAGCTTACAGGGGTAGGCAACCTTGGCTCTTTTATGACTTGTGGACTTCAATTCCCAGAATTCCTGAGCCAGCTATGCTGGCTCAGGAATTCTGGGAGTTGAAGTCCACGAGTCATAAAAGAGCCAAGGTTGCCTACCCCTGGATTAGCACCAACCTGATTTTTAATATATTTTATTGATTTTTTACAATAACAATCTTCAGTGCTTAGTGAACAGTGTATTGTCTGGGTTCATATATTTAAAAAACAATCAATAATAATTTCTATAATTCCATAATCAATATATTAATGATATATTTCCCTGATCTTCTCTTCTTCCAGTAGTATTCTCCTTTTGTCAACATTAAACAAATATAGCTCTTAATACTTTCGATACATACAAGGTTGGATAGAAACATTTTTCTTGTGTTTGTACAAATAACAGCAACATCAGCATATAACATCTTTTCTGATCAGTTTATGTTTCAATTGTATTTGTAAAAGTCATCTTATTATTAACCTGATTTTCACCAAGGCCTGTTTCCCACTGACATTTCTAAATAGGTTTGCTACAGATTTGTTACGATAATGTAGAAACCATATTCTTATCCTTAATAAATGTTGCATAATGCCTCATCACTGAGAATCTTAGATCGCTGCATCAAGATGGGCAACAAACTAACTAAAGGCAGTGATATACTGACCTGCCCAAACCACGTATTAGCTGTGTCATTGGTGTTGACATTTCCATCTCTTGCCATTTCTACCCTGGACATCCCTCCAAAAAAAAAGAAAAGAAATATATTAGAATTGGAATATTCTTTATTGGCCAAGTGTGATTGGGAACACAAGGAATCTGTCTCCGGTGCATAAGCTCTCACTGTACATACAAACAGCAAAGTGATATGTCATAGACCATAAATCATAAGATACAATCATAAATGGTAAGATACAAACAAGTGATAAATCATAAGATATCAATAGGAGAAGGTACGTTCCATTAATACGTTTGAATCAATAGTAATCCCAAATATTTCAAAGAATTAGCGTGAAGATATTTCCTCAGAATTAGCAGAGCAGGATATCCCACACAGAAGCTCTGCACAGATTTTGTTCTTTTTCCAGAATTTGACTTTTCCTAATAAATGTAAAAGATAGCATTTTATTTCAGTAGGAGAAAGTGATGCACCTGAAACCAAGAATAGCTTTATATTGCTATGACTTCTTGATCATTCTAATGGCTGAGATGAAAGGCAGGGTGTTTTCCTGATTCTAAAAATTTGATGCAAATATATATGCATCAATTTCCATAAAACAAAGCAACACTTATTTCAGAAAGGAGCAGATGTGTCTATTTCAACCTAAATCTGAACAGAATTACTCTGCACAAATGCTGACAGGAAGGATGCCTAAGCATAACAATCTGGTATTACTGAATATTTGCACTACACCTGCCATAAATCCTAAGAGGCACACCCTGTCAGAAATGAAATTCAAAATCTTTGAAAGGCATCAATTTGCTTACTCTCAAATGGATGAAAATGCCTTTTTGGTTTTACATACATCCATACATCCATCATGGCGTTCACCTTCAAATTAGACATTATGCAAAATGTAAAAAAGCAATAAGAAACAATCAATGAAAGTCATGAGATAAGGAAAAGAAAAAGAACACAGCTAAAAGTAGTTTATCCCAATCTTATTCACTGTACCGCTCTATCTTTGCAGACCATTTTTGCTTCCGCCATACAGTATCTATATACTGTTTTATATACTGCTTTGGTCCTTTAAGAAGGTTGTTATATCTCCTCTTTATCTTTTCACTCTTCCTTCATATATTTCTTTTGCAATACAATCCTCACTCAAACCCAAATCTCCTCAACCTTTTTCTTTCATAGTCACTCATGTTTGTATTCAATCCATGTTTACTTAACACCCACTCATTCTTGACCTAGATCTTGTTTTACAAGTCATGCTTTTCAGTCATTCCTCTCATCGCATTAAATTTAGATTTATGTTTTTCCAGGCATATCCAAGTCTCACTTCCAAATAATAAAACTGGCAGAAGCATGCTCCTATGCATAGTTATTTTAGCTATTTTTAGCTACTTCGTTTTTCACAATAGAGCTCATACTCTCCATTACATTTTACCAGTATTTACACATCTTGAAATACCAGAATCATTTTCCTATCTTTAGTAAATAATCTATCAAGGTATTCAAACTACCAGATCTGGTTTTTCGCCACAAGTATTATTTACAATTGGTCACCTCATTTTCTCAATCAAACATAACAAGTTTAAATTCCATATTTCTTGTTGCATCATAAAATCAAGCATTTGTTGCAAATCCTTTGGATTTTTAACCATCAGCACAATACTCCATACAAAAACAAATGCATACTGTTGTCCCTAATCAACATATTTTCATTCTCACCACAAGCACCCCTTATATAATTATACAGTACATTTTAACCTTTTTGTTCATAATAAAATTACATTCTCTCTTTTTCTGCATGAATTCATGAACTCTACTAACAAGACCAGGCCACCTTAACTCAAATCTATTACACTCTTTCCCTCTCTCTTAGTTTCAAAGAGATACAACGATGTGCTTTTATTTGCTAATTCACACTCTTTGCCATTTAGGCAGCCTATATTTCAAATCCCAATGTTCCAAATGCTATTTTCATCAAATAGGCCCCCAAATGGATCTCCAATGTCAATAATGATCTCTATCAATCAAATCTTTCGATATTTTTTGGTAAGGTAGAGAAGATATACATTTAGCTATTGGTCTTAGTTATATCAATGTATTATATATATCCTGCTAATAGTAACGATGGTAGTCTAGCTTGACCCATTTTGTCCAACATGGCACAGTACAGCTAAAGCTCAGTATTATAGACACATACTTTGTTACACACAGAAAATATTATACCACATAGCAATATCCAATGCTTATTTTAAAATTCCCCAAAGCATCCAGATTCTTATACCAGTAGCATCTGAGAAAAAATAAAAAAACTTTTAAAATGTATTTTTAGAACATTGTTTTAAAACAGCTACCAATTTTCTTGTAGCTAATCAAAGCTTCTGTTTCTTTCCACAAAAGAAAAAGCAAATGATTAGAGGTTCTTACGGTGTTCGCTGACAGATTGTGTATCCTTACAGTCGTCTTGAAAGAACTGAGCAAACTCCTCCGCCCTATAAATTAAAATTTTCTTCAGCCAGTTTGATATACTTGTATCTTTTTATAGTAAGCATTTTAAAAAATTGAAAATTACAAACACATAAATCAGAAAGCAGACTTCTTACTTGGGACAAAAGACACAAGTGTGTATTTTAAACATTAGTATTAACCATTTTGCCTGTGCAATTTCTAAAAGATCATGTTTTTCAGTTACTCATAAAATTAATCAAAGTAGTTTTACTATTATTTTTTCTTTCTTTCTCTATCTCCCTATAGAAAACATACAAGGATTGGAATGTACATGTTGCAGACTCAATAACAACTATATGGAGAAAACCCATATATTCCATGACTAAAGAACAGCAAGATGTAACTCTAGTAGCTAATTTATTTTCACTGTTTATTATCTGCTTCTTGCACCTATATTGTTAATGTTTATTTTGTTACTTTTATTAGAACTTTGAGCATAAAATAAGAATTTTGTATAATTTTATAGCAATATCAATTTTTGCCACTGTCTAGAACTTTTCTAATTTTTCAAAATATATAATTGAACAATATTCCAATGTGGATTACACAATAAATATATAGAAATTATAATGTAGATAATCATTGACTTTTTCACAAAAAAATTGGTAACTGGCTTGAGCATTCATTAATCTGCAAGTAAGAACTTTGACTGATATATTTAAATAAAAGTAGAATTTTCAATTCTATTAGTATTAGAATAGAATTCTATTCACTCCCTGGTATTCAGGATGCTGCTTATAAGCGCTATGTCCTTAGAGCTCAAAGCATTGTTAGAGACCCCACACACCCACTTTACGGTCTGTTTCTGTTGTTCCCCTCTGGGAGGAGGATTTGAAGTATTTCTAGCAGGACTACCCGATTTTGTAACAGCTTTGTTCCCTATGCCAGCCGTCTGGTAAACTTGCAAGATTAGTTTTTTGCGCCATGCACATGTATACATAATCCGAACTAGACTGTGTTGTTTCTCTGTGTCATATAATATATGTGGGTATATGCATAATTCTGTATTTATTTATTTTTGTCACATTTATGTACTGTATATTGGAGGTGATGACCCTTTGAGAGCTGTATGCAACAAAATTTCATGTTAATGTATGCCGATTAGCGTGCATTCAAAGTGACAATAAAGTTATTATTCTGTTCCATTCCATTCCAAAGATCCCTGAGTTAATTGCTTGGGTCATTCCCCAGAAATACAAGACTGTTGTAAAAATGTCTATAAAAGCAGGAGGGATATTCTTACTTGCCCTTTCTTTAACTTAAAATTTTAGAAATCATCACTCTAGCATATTTATGACCAGGGCTTTTTTTGTCATAGAACGCCCAGAAATGGAGTTCCGACACTTTTTTTGGATGGAACCTTGTAGGGTAGGCAAGGCGGGTGGTATGACGTGTGTGAGTTCCGGCACCTTTTTTTTTTTAAACAAAAAAAGCACTGCTTATGACCGTTGCTGTTTCCCAAGATCATCTGATCACCCATTGCAACCTTCTGACAAGCAAAGGCAATGGGGAAGCTAGATTCACTTAACAAACGGATTACTAACTTATCAACTGCGGCAATTCACTTAACAAATGTCTGACTTAACAACAGAAATTTTGGGCTCAATTGTGGTCGTAAATCAAGGACTGCCTATAGTTGTCTTTTTCCATAATTATTTTTGATTTTCCAATCTATGTTAATCCCTCCCCCCACGGGGATTTCCTAGTGGTTCCCCCATTCTAACCAGCGCTAGATCTACAGCTCCCAGTTCTAGCCAGATCTGATCCTGATTAGCAGCTCACGATCAACCTAAGCTTGCTATCCAGCTGAGTAAATTGAATAAAATATTTTACCAACTTACTTGAAAGTAGGATGCCTTGACCGCAAAGGGACTGAATAAATTTGGAATGGCACTCTCAGGCAGCTCTGCGGGGGGGGGGGGGCGATCGCTGAGCCCCTTTTAGCCCTCCGTACAAAGCAGCTGTAGCGGCACCACCTTCCGGGACAATAAGCCCGAAGCCACCAAGAGCCGCCGCTGACTCCCCACCATAAAAGCTTCAGCGACCAAGAGCAGGCAAACTTCCCGCTCGGTCGGACTGCGCTTGCGCCGGACCGCCTCTCGCGTTCGGGGGAGGAGCGCTGAGGACTGGCATAGGAAGCGGGCATCCGGGACGTGTCTGGGAGTCGCCCAGGCCTTCTCGGAGAAGGCGGGAGAATGTTTCGGCAGCAAGCCTCTATTGGTCTAAAGGGGAGAGGGAGGGAGAGGGGGGAGGAAAAGGATCGCCACGCGCCTCTCGTGATTGGCAGGCTTAGGTGGGTGGGGCGTAAAGCGCTACGGTGAGCGGAGGGCCGAGGTGAACCGACGTTCGGGAAAGGGAGGAGGAGGAGGAGGGAGAGGGAGAGGGAGAGGGAGGGCAGGGAGTGGGCCGAGCTGATCGCGCGTGCCGGGAACTGATCGACCGGCCGATTGATCCCTCGGCGGGCAGCCTCGCAAAGGGCGGGAGAGACTCGCCGGGGCGTCACACGCCAGCGGGCAGGGCTCGCGACGAGGGGGCGGAGCCTGATTCTCGCCTGG